TGCCTTGTTTTCATGCACGCATTTATTGCTGTATATATATATATATATATATATATATACATTTTCTAAAACTTGATATACTCCTGATGCCCTGCGAAATGCGAGGGAATTTTAAATTAACATCTTACTCGAACATAAAAGTTAAAACTCTTTACTAGCGTAAATTCTAACACAGAGAGGGTCATTTCACCAAGTAGCTAGTTGCGAATAGTCGATTTTATGAGTGTCTTATTGATATCTGAATTCATTATTGCGCAAAAGTAACACTATGAGGCACAACAAAATGACAGGCTCAACATGCATTTTCTGCGTGATGCTTTTTCTTATGCAAACAACATAAATCACGTCTGGTTGCGTTTGGATTTTGCACACAGTATCGATTTTCTGCCAGTATTAAACCGTTACTCTCATACATATTTTCATTTGCTTGTTAATAACTATTTTTACCGTTTACCTTTGAATTCGCAAACCATTCATAAAGAATATTCAGCCTTAAAGATTAATTTCAATCCATTTTTTGTTTTAGCGACTTGGCTATGAGGACAAACTAATGCGTGTTTTCGAAAACCCTAAACAACCTGACAAAAAGATAGTCTCTAATCACCTTGATAAACTTTTCCATAGCATCCGTCTCCAGATGCAATTTCTTGTCAAAATGCTTCTTGGCAGGAGATGGAAGGATATCCTTGATTCCTTAAAGGAGGATGAACGCATCAAAGAGAAGGGACCCGGAGCTGTTGATAGCGAAAGTGATATTGATATAGGTATGTCATACCCTGTAAAAACCCTTGTTCCCACTTTTGCTTATTCCTGGCATTAGACTTAATTGTCACTTTCTATTTGTCATGAAAATATTAGACTATGCATTACTTGCTTCTATGATTTCTGCACTTTTAGCCTCTTTATTGTAGCCTCTATTCTTTTTAATATCTCTATTTACACTTCCCCGTTTGATTTAATTTATATATATATATATATACCGCAACTTTTTCTGCATGTGTTCCTGTGCACTGATTCAAAAACTATGACCTATTTTAAGAGAATGGGATATCTAAGTGATATATAAGGCAATTACAACACTTCACTTACTAGCTGATGCAATACTGCATTGCTCGATAGCTTGTCACATAACATGCAACAGCTGTGGGCAAAGTATATTAGTGAAGCCGGAACTCCAAAGAACCTTCAGAAATATGACAAGGAAGGATTCAAAATAGCAGAACACATTGCACGGACAGGATATGAAGTCCACTTAAAGGCAACAAAAGGACTGGCAGTAAATGGCAAAAGTATAAGGAAGCGCATGGTTAGAGAGGCCATCGATATCCTGAATAAAGGAAATC